AGCCCACTGCACATCTATTCCCTTTCCTGCAATGTGAGCTGCACAGATCAAAACCAGACCAAAAAAGCTGGCTGGTGCAGCGATCAGACGACTCTCATGCTGGGGAGCCCAGTATAATTAGAAAAAGAAATAAAGCTGCACAAAAGGCATCACAGCAAAACACTAAATTTCACTTTAATTGCAAGGCTCCTTGCTTGGCTGAAGTCATTGCTCACGATCACTACGTAGCAGTGGCTCTGCCTCAGGAGGCACACAGATATAATGCTAACAGATTCCACGTCCCAGGCTCTCCTGCTCCATCCATCACACGGTAGGACCTCCTTTCAATAAACTACATCTTTGCAAGGGGAAGATTTCTACTTGCTAATCATCATTTCTCAATAAGCTACAGAGCAGCAGCAGCTGCAGAATGTGAAGCCAGGAGTGCAGCTCTGCATACCTGGGTGCAGGAGGGGAACATTCCCTGCATCAGTGCCCTGGAACACCATCTCACTCCAGGAGCAAAATGAGACAGAAGAAAAAAAAGTTGCTCCAGCAGTGGGAAATATCATTGCTGGGGTTTGTGTTACAGCTGCTGTATGGGAGAGCAGCAGCAAGTGATGGATGGGACAGCAGAATGGCCTCGAGTTGCAGCAGGGGAGGGGCAGGGTGGGTGTTTGGGGTGCTCCAGGGTTGTGGGGATGTGGTTATGGGTTTAGTGGGATGGGTTGGGGATCCTAAAGGTCTTTCCCCAACCTCAGTGATTCTGTTCTACGATTTTCAGCCACATCCTGGGCGAGGGAAAGGAAGTGCACAGGCAGGAACAAACAGAGCAGATAGAGCTGCACGTAAACACAGGAAATGTTTGTTGAAGACAGCAGTTAGGTGGGCAAGGGGGAAACAGCAGCAGCCACACTGGAAACAAAACACACAACAACAGCCCCAGAGAAAAGCTCTCCTGTAACGACACATGCATGCTGGAAATGGGATCGGGAGCAGCCGTGGGCACAGGAATTCAGCACACCCTTCCCATGCTGATGCCATCACTCCTGCTATTCCTCCTTGTTAGATGACCCTTCCTCAGTGCCCATTCCCCCGACAACATTAAATCATCAGCCAGAAACTCCTGCAGACCAAAGGCGGCTGATCCTCATCATTAACTCTGCAAAGCAAAGCACCTGGAAGAGCTCCTTTCCAGCACATCTGAACACAGCACAGGGCCTGGCTGCACGTGGGAATAAAGGGAAGAGCAATACTGAGCCTGGATTCTTCCCTCCCAAATGAGCTTCTCCTCCTGGCTCTTCAAGAAAGCATGGAAGTCCTCAAAGCCTTCAGACCAGAGATGCATAGAAACCAAACACCCAACAGACTTTTAGCTGAGAACACTCATTCTGCATGCAGGGACACCTCCCTGAGCCCCAATCGTCTCTGATTCGTACACAGATGAAAGTTATTTCTGCAGCTGCCAGCAGGCAGCCCACACTTCAGTTCTACACTACGGCACTCGGTGTGTTTATCCCCTGCGTCTCTCACCAGGTTCTCACTGCACACATTCGCTTTCAAGTTGGCAGCTGGAGATAACAGCAGAGAGGACTGAGGGCTGGAGCAGCTCTGGGGCTCACCGCCTCTGCTCCAGAGCTGCTCAAAAGCAAACTGCAACAAATCCTTGCTGCTCTCTTGCAAGCTATGCTACATCTTCTTCCTTCAATGAGTTTGGGAGCTGGAAGGCAACAAGCAAGGCAGGGGGCTGCAGGAGGAGAACAACTCCCAGTAAGGCAGCGGGGTTCAGCCCAGCTGTGTTACCATCAATGCCCAACCCCCAGGTTGAGGGTTGCACCCATAGGAGGTGATGGAGGCACGAGGAGCAGCCCTGCACCATCTTCTGCCCCTACTCTGCAATTCCGCTACGCAGCCGTGTGAGCAGCTTAGTCATTTATTTAACGAAAAGCTTTTAATTATCTCTCTCACACACACGCATTACGTGGGGCGGGGAAGGGGAGGATATAATCAGCCTACAACGGGTGACTCGCGTGTTCAAAGGAATTGTGTTTTTCATAGAAATAGCCAACTAGATCAAAGCTGCTGCTGCTAAGCCCTGCCCCAGGCTGCAGGCTGCATCCACCGTGTGTGCTCTGCTGCAACTGTAACTCATGCTGAGCCCATGCCCGGCTTTAGGCAGAGAGGTTGCTCGTGAAGCAGGCTGCAGGCATGGTGAAGGAGGTCAGTGCACGGCTTGCACCTGCTGGAAGCCAGGCTGATGCAGTGACATCACACAGCACTCACTCTCAACGACAGATGGAAGGGAGAACTCTGCGAAGCAGCGAGCCCAGGGGCTGCGGGGGGCTCAGACCCCCTGGCAGCACCAGTTAGGATGCTGTGCAGCTCAGCAGGACGGCAATGGGGATGTGCTGCAGGGTGGGTGTTTGCTGCAGGCACAACAGCGACGGCAAGTTTGCAAAGGAGCGTGCATCAGAATTGCAGCAGGATCCAAAAGAGTGTGATTGCCCACACCCAAAGCCCACACAGTTTCTCTCTCTGTGGAACTGCTGCATTAAAAAATAAAAATATAAATAAATAAATAAATAAATAAATAAGGGATTTCGCGCAGAATGAAAAAAGTCTTTGGGTTTAATACATAATGTCAGAGGAATTACAAAAGCAAAATTTCAAGTAAACAGCAAACAGGCGTAAACAACCGACTGAGCGTAAGGAAACTAATAATATTAATCTGGATTAACTGCAAGCCATGGACATTCCTACCTAATCCACCCGATGGACAGACACAAATCCCCGCCATGCCGCATCCTGCAGCTCTTGGCAACTTAAGGAAGCACAGAACTGATCAGAACAGAGCAACAGATGAGAAGAATGCAGCGAAATCTTTACGTGCGGCTGCCTGCTTAATCTACAGAGGATTACAGCAAAAGCCAAGCACCAGGAGAGCAGAACAAGCAGTGCAAAACATCGCTGAGCCCCAACTGTGAGCCCCTCTGGATGCAGAAAGCGTGGCATGGGGCTTCCCAAGGAGCTGCAATAGGGGAGGGTGGGACAACACAGACCTGGGTGAGAGCAGTGGGAGTGCTGGCACCTCTCGACGCTCTGAAAAGTTGCATTGGGAAGAAGTGCAGCCAGGGAAAAGGTGGTAAATTCGGAGGTGAGTATCAAAGCACAAAGGGTGATTAAGAAGTGGAAGCTATTCACACCCAGAGAACTGCTGTAGTACCCCTATGTAGGACCCCTCACATTAAACCAGTGCCTGTCACAGCTCAACCTCGTTGCCCTTTGCTACCAGAACCCCATAAGGACTCAGCAAGAAGAGAATCATAGCATCACCAAGGCTGGAAGAGACCTACAAGATGAAGAGCACGCACACATCTCCCATCTAAGCCCCCCCATGCGCACACACAGGCCACACATCCCTACATTGACTTCAGAGCAGAGCAGCTGACACCCCATGGCTCAATGCCCGCGAGCTGCACAGCACAGCCACGCTTTGATCGCTAATGAATGAATTTGTAAACGAGGCTGCTCAGCACAGAAACACAGCATCTATCAACCCCACTTTGCATCCATTTCAATATTTGCTCAGCAAGCAGCAAATGGAGAATCGGAACAGATATGGTGTGTTTTGCTGCTTTCCCCAAATCAAACGCTGTCAACTGCAAACATCACATCCAGAACTGCCAGGTTGGAGCGTAACTCTTAAAGCACTTCTGGACTGGAGCAGCACAAGGTGCTCAGAGAGGGGCAGTGAGGAGCTCACCCTGCCCCCCCCCATCCCAATGGAGCTGCTGGGAAGGAGCACTGCCCCCCATCTCTGCTGCTGCACTGCCAAGAGGGATTTGGTGCACATCGTGATTGGGAGAGCAGATCAAAATGCAATTCTTCCTGTTCTTCTAACCTGGAATGATACAGGAGGAACAAAAAAAACCAAAAAATACTTGACATTTCTCTCTGCTTGATAAGTCTGATCCAGCTTTAAAAGTAAGGAGTGCTGTGTTTATCCCAAATTCAATCTTGGCAGCAGACGATGTCTGCCACAGAACGCCAGAACACAGACCTCACTGGGCAGCTTTGCCATGTCAGCAGAAACTGACCGACCCCACAGCCTTAATTCACACCAACCCACAGCAGAGCTGCATCCAGAGGTGCTCGAGGTTGGCACCACTTGCACGTAACATCCCATAAAAGCATCACCTGCAAAGCAGAACATCCCCACTGCTGTGAAGGAAAACCTTTGTGCCAACGCCGTTATGGCACAAAGAGCAGCTCCAGATCCACACGGGGCAGAACCTGGAGCAGCAGGGCTGCAGCTCCCACCCTGCATGTCTCCTCCCTTGGGGTCCCACAGGGATTATTTAATGTTCATTACCGAAGAGCAAAACTAAAATCTGTCCCGGAATTGGGACGACCTTTAAGAGCTGAGCTCTGTGCTGCCAGGCATGCAGCTCTCAGCACACGAAGCTTTAGGGGGGACCCTCAATGCAGCCCACCCCAAACCCACGGAGCAGGCAGCGAGTGCAACACCGCACACATCACACGATGTCAGCTCCCTCCCAGCCCTCCGAACCGCTCCTACCACGAACCTCGCAGCATAAAAACCAGCAGCAGCGCTGCGCTGCAGGTGCACTGCTGGGACCTCCATCGCATTGCCGAACACCTCGGCGGCCCCTCCAGCAAGTGCTCTCCTGCTGAGCCGCGGCCTTGCAGCACGCAGAGCTCCATTTCTCACACACACACACACGCACAGCCCTTGCACAGCGCGCGCGCACAATGCAATGCGTGCATCAGCCCCGCGCGCGCGCGCACCGTGCGTGCAGAGAGAAGCCCTTTGCACGCCCGCACCCTTCGCGTACACGCGGGCTACGCATCACGCACGCAAACCGTGCACACACACAACGCATGCACCGAAGCGCCCAAACGGCAGAGGAAAAAAAAAAAAAAAAAAAGAAAAAAAACCACAACAACCGGACGCGCCACGCCATGCCCGCGCACACGGCCCCGCGTGCACGCGCACTTACCCACCCGCCTCTGCTGCTCCTTCACGCAGCGCACCGGGGCCCTGCGAAGAGCCCTCGGTGCGCTGCTGACTCGGGGCCGGGTCGAACCGGACCCAAGCAATCCGAGCAGCGCCGCTCCGAGCCCCTCCGTGCCCGCCGGCAGCGTCCTCCCGCCTTCCTCTCGCCCTCCCGCCCGCACTCTGGCTCAGCCCCCGGTCCCGCCCCCACCCACAACACTGTAGTAAGTTCCCATTGGTAGATCTCAGGGGGCGGGACGCCGCGCCGCCCTCCTATTGGCGGAAGGGAAACGGCGGCCGTCGGGGAGGGCGGGGGGAGCGGCAGCGTGCCCCCCCCTCCCCCCCGCGCTCTCCCCTCAGGGCTCTGAGCAGAGCGGCGCGCCGTGCCGCTGCCCGCCCCGCTCCCTCACAGCCCCGCGGCGTTACGGTCCGCAGGGACCGGGCTGCGCACACACACACACACGGCCGGGGGGGCTCCGTCTCAACGGGGGGGGAGGCAAAAAAGGGGCAGAAAGAGGCTTCTCGCCTCGGTATTTCCCAAGCGGCCACCTCCTCAGTGACCCAGATTGCAGAGCAGCGTCTGAGGGAGAGAGCTGAGAGGGTTACCTCAGGGAGACGAGAAAGGAACCGGGGGGAGGAGGGAGGAAAGGCGCTCTGAAAATCATTTTGTTACCTAATTCAGTGTGAGTTACACCAAAAACACGCCAAAAACACCGACAGCACGCGTGCTGCGAACCGCTGCCTTCGCTTCTTCCTTCCTGCACAGCCCCAAGCTGACCTCTGAAATCTCAGAGGAAGCAATGGAAATTTCTTACATTCTTCACTATGAGGACGTTTTGCCTCGTGCCAACATTGCAAATATTTAAAGAACTCCCCCCTGGTTTAAGTCGCTTATAGGAGTCCCTTAGAGATGGGGAATTACTTTAATAAGTCAGGATTTCTTGGTATTCAGCTGCTGCATACGGGACTAAGGAAAGGAATTATATCCACGCGAGGCATTTGTTTGTGATCTTTAAGGCAGGAGCTGAAGGGCTGCTGTGTGGGTGCTCTGATCCTCAAGCACTGCCCAATGCAAACCAACCAGGGCTGATGCACAGCACCCTACGTGTGTCTGTGTGACGGGCACACAGGTAGCAAACAGCTCTAAGTCTGCCTGCAGCATCTTAAGAGCTCCTCGGCACCAGATTAACTCCAGCTGAGGTAAGTTCTTCATAAAAATATCCTTTGTAAGGTGATCCGATGCCCTGCTGGTAGGATTTGTGCGTTAACACGGAGCTCCCACTTTGCCATTGCTGGTGAACGATGTGTTCAGAGCATTACCAGCACGAATAATGAACTTCGCATAGCTCTCCATACCCCAAGGAGCTTCTCTAAATGAGGAATTCCCAGTCTAAACAAAGGAACTATGTGGCATGCTGGTATTGGTGCTTCCTCCCCCCAAGCAAGGAGAATTTAGGATGAAGAGAAATAGTCAGCATTGCTCCAAGCCCTAGGAAAACAAAGAAAGGAAGCTGGCCAACTGGATCGTTTATAAACCACTGTTCTAAGCAAGCTGGTGGTATGTATGCTGTACATCTTGCATCCACAGTAGGCATGTTCAGCTTCCGTGCCACTTTGCTAGTAGGAGAGCATCTCGAAGGCAGCAGCAGCCATTTCACAGAGCAAACAAGGTGGGAGGAGAGCAGGTGGCTTTGCTGTGCCAGTGCTGGCCCTCTGCCCTTGGCTCCTCTTCCAGATTCAGTGTCACCATCAGCGGTGCAGAGCTGGCCGATAGCAGAGGGCCAGGATGAGGCAAAAAGGAAATCTCCCTTCAACTTCACAAGCATCGTTTTACTGTGAAACAAACAGCGATGGAGAGCAAAGACAGCTCTGATGGAAGATTTACCTCGGGGGAAGGGGCGCTTCAGCTAAGGCTGAATTTCTCCAGTGCTCACATCTTGATTTAATGGTAGACAGCCAAAAAAAAAAAAGTCCAGTAATTCACCTCCAACAGACTAAATTGCAAATTCAAGAAATATTCACAGAATCACTAAGAAATAACAAACGCTGCATCACTTTGCTACAACATGCGTGCACAGTGATGGCAGCCTGGGACATCCACGCTCACCCAGCACTGTACTAAACGTTGCTGCAGAGATAAACCTCCTCCAGCCTGCCACAGCACTCCAAAACCAACAACCAATTCACTGCTGGGCAGGTTATTAAAGGGACAAACAGCACGCTCCATAGTCAAACAGCCTTAGCGACTTTGCTATTGTGAATCCACTTGGCAGCATGGCAGCAAGTGCCAAGTTGTGCTAAATCCAAGCTGCTTCTCCTGGTCTTTTCTATGTGATCCTCTATTGGAGGGTTTTTCTTTTGTTTTTATTCTTTTTAAACCACAGGAATTGTGCCATTTAAAGACCATCGTTGCAGAATTAAAACCACATGTTCTTTCTTGTGGGCATGAGCATCCAGCCACTCTATATTTTTGGAACTGGGTTGGTGTATGTGGGTGCCTTCTGGGGAGATGGGAAGGGCAGAGGGGAAAGCTGCGCTGGTTCCTCTACACATAGGAATTCCAGTCCCAGAACCCGGTGATTTTAAGCCCCATCACTGATCTGAAAGAAGCCGATGTTCATTTGATACAATGTTTTGCTACGCAGCAGACCAGCTCCAAGAAGGAGGAGGAATAAAATAGATGCAGAGGAGCATAGGCTCTCTCCAGGCTGTGTGCCAGCACAGGGAACAGCTCCCTGGAAAGTCAGCTTTGTTCCAGGGCTTAGAAACAGCATGCAAAGCATGTTTCTGCCAAGATGCCCCATTTAAAGATTAGAGGAGGTCAGCTTAAGATTGCAGGATTGAGTTTTCATATGGCGAGTGTTTCTATGCTGAGAGGAAAATACTTTTCCTCGTTAAGTTTGGGTAGGAAGTATTAAGCATACAAGTGGCTGCACTTAAAGAAGCTAGAAAGTGCTTAGAAACCCCAGGGCATAGATTACAAGCAATGCTGTGAGTACAACTAGTGCATGCTCTGGAAAAGACAGAGTGGATGTGGAGCCATCATGGGAAGAGCCAAAAGAGACAAGAGATGCTGACCATCAGGCTGTGAGCTCTCCCTCAGTTCAAGCATTTACCACTTTTTCATTCCCTAACAGCCTTTGTGGAAAGAAGACACGACCAGAAATAGAGGAGCATGCTCACAGTGTGCCCGTGCTCCCTATCCATCACTAAACATTCCAGGAGATGCTGCTAAAAACCTTGGAGTTTGGGCAGCAGGAGCCCTGTGCCAGCCTTCTACACCAAACACGAGCAGCCAGCTTGGCCAGGGACACAGCTGTCACTTCAGCAGGGGACACGCTCAGCTATGCAGCCTTTGTTGAAATAAACCTAAAAATAACAGTTAGTGCCACCTAGGGACCAGCTCTAAGGCAGGGACACGGAAGAGCCACACCACAAACAAAGAACGTCAGTGGCTGATTTACTCCTTGCACGGTTGAGAAGTCAAACTGCAGCAAGGAGAGGCAGTTTAAACAACACCAGGCAGGTGTGGTTTGCACCACAGCTTCTCCCCCCACGGGTAGGTGAAGCTTTCACAACAGATTGTTCAAGCACAGATTTGACTCCGCACTGCTGCTCCCTCAAGCTGGGCAGAGCATCCCTTGGCTCTGAGCATTTAGTTCAGCAGACAGAGGGAAGCAAGCATTCCTAGATCAGAGTTTATGGAAGAGCAGTGTCAACCTAGCAGCAAGCCACAGCCAGGTGCTCAGAAGAGCTCTCTCATCTACAACAGAACATTGCAGAGAAGCTGGACCTGCACATTAGTGGGGGATACGTGCCCAGAGCTAACCAGAGACATTCACCATGGAGCAAATACTGCTTGTAAGCAGAGCACAGCCCACCTCATTTCTCCCATAAATAGGAGCTGAAGCACCCTGCTCAGTGCTGCTCCCCCACCTACCTCCGTGGACCTTGCAGGGTTTGTCTTAAGCTACTAACGGGATCAGATTTGTCACCCTGAGTCCTCTCTCCAGATGATCCCACAGCCTAATGCAGCATAGCCAGAGCCTGCTGAGAGAGGCAGTTCTGCAGGTGCGCAGTGATTAATTGGTGCACATTTCCATATCACAAATGAAAGAGAAAGAAAGAAAGAAAGACTTCTAAGCTCAGTTGAAATGCAGTATATTAACCTTTGAAAATGGCAGTCATGGATACCGGCTTCAAAAAGATTAATATCAATAGGGCAAAATCCCAGAGGGTAGCATCACATCGCCACCAGTTTCTCTGAAGCTTTACAAAATAAAGCATTTTGAGGCTTTATTTAAGGTCATATATTTCCCTGCTCGTTTTAGGAAGGAAACCTGAAGCAGTTCTGATTTATAGGCAGAACCCAAACACTGGGGTCAGGAGGAAAGGGGAAATCAGAAGGCCTGAGGAAAGCTGTGGGTATGGATGAAAAAGCAGGAGGGGAAGGGGTGAGGAAGAATGCTTCAGCTGAACTGCTGCCATCGCCACAGCTAATTGCTGAAAATCCCCCTGCAAAAAAGGTTTGTTACTGAAACAAATAATGCAGCTCAGTTGTGGGGCACATTCTGTGGGTCCACAAAGGCACAGCTGCAAGTTAACACGGTGCACACAGCAAACCCTTCGAGTGAGAGATGCAGCAATAGCTGCAGAAGCCAAATCTCACCCCTGCGTCCCGCTTCCACCACACACCGCATCAGAAAGAAGCTAATAATCATTAAGCTGCCATCTTTTATTTCTAATTATTTGCCTCCACAGCAGGGTTCCTGCAACCATCAAGTAGGAAGGAAGCAAATCTCAAGGGAATAACTGTTTTGAAGAGGGCTCGCAGCTGCCACTGTGTGAATGGCTCTCCAAGAACAGTGGGAACTGCTGCACGCTGCCCACAGAGCTGGGAGCAAAGCATCTCTGTTAGGGCTGGATTGCAATGTTGATTTTTAGGTCAACTAAAACAGCTTTTCTTATGCAACAAGGGATACAGAGAGCTCACATGCTTTGAGGTTTTTTGTTGTTGGGGTTTTGTGTTTTTTTTTTTTTTGCTTTCATTTAATTAGATGGTAATTCAGAAGGCAGCGCTGCTATTTTAAACACTACAATGAGAAGTGTTTCATTGCCTTCAAAGCAGTGAAGTGGAAGCAGTTAGCAAAGCCAGCCCTAGAACTTGGCACTGCTTTGGATTCTGACCACCTCTTCTGATGGGGTGGGACAACAGAAGGGATACCCTGCTGCCTCACTGCCAGGAGGGATT